CTGCGGATGATCCGCTGTCGACATCTCCAACTTGGTGCCTAGCACCTTGAAGATAGTCGACCAAATTTTTCAGTAAAACGGGGGTCTCTATCAGAGATGATCGACTCTGGGAGTACGTGTTGTCGGAAAACACGATCCACGAGCAGCGATGCTGAACCGACCCCGTCGATGGAGTCGGACACCGCCGCCAAGTCAGTCATCTTGTTCAACCGGTCGACAAATACCACGACACCCGTGTTGTCCGCCGAGTCTTTCGGTAGGCCAAGCACAAAGTCCAAACGCATGGACTGTCCGCACCCAAAGGGTACCGGTAAGCTGGCCAGCGGCGCAGCCGCATTTGGAGAGGGTTTCACCCGTTGACACTGTTACAAGTGCGCACATAGGTGCTCGTTCATTTGTACAGCTTAGGCCACCAATAGTGGTGACTCACAGAGTTGTACGTTTTCTCACGACCGAGTGGCGTGTCCTGAGCCTCATAGAGAATGCGATATTTCAAATTCTCATCATGAGGAACCACACTTCGTTATGTATCCGTTGAATCGGTGCTATAATATAGCAAGCGGTTATTCAGCGAATTTCGAGTCTCCTAACTCCTTACTTCCTAGAGCCCGTAGCAACGCTACACACATCCCATCACCCGCATACGCGGTGCGGATCAAATCCGTCACAGACGACGTTACAATGAAGCGCGGCTTGCATACACGTTCCGTGTTCATAAGCACTGAGCACTTCGTGGCTGGACCCTGTTGACCTATGCCTCCCTGAGGCTCAACAAAACTCAGTTTTTTTCCAGTAGGTCGTCCCGCGCCTACTGGGTAGTGTCGTTTCCCCGCGGCAAACCAGACTGTAGGGATTGAGGCGATGGTTTGAAGAACCTTGATGCGCCTTGCGCCTGGGGCAACCGTTCCGAAGGTGACGGGTGTCTCCACAAACAAAACACCGTCGTGTGTATGTGTGCTGCCCGGCAGCTCGGAGCTCTGCTCCCTCGTCGTCGGCATAGCTGAGATCCATGGGCACAGGTCCGCTCGACGAGCTGTTGGAGTGTGGATTCCAACCAAGTCGTGCCGACTTGAAGATAAAACGGCATTCAATGCCACATTCACCTCCTCTTCAAATGAAGATGGATGCAAACCGAAGACTTCCATTCTGGCCACGCCAGTGCGGAGGCTTTCCATGAAGACGGTCACTGTGACCACCTCAGGAAGGGGTTCTGCTGCCATCCCGGCAATGAGAGTACGCATCTTTTGGACAAAGTCTACCAATCCTTGTTGCTCTGTCGGGCGGCAAGGAAACGCGCTCGCACGCGATGTGCCTGGTTAGGCGGTGAGAACACTCGTGAGAGCTGACATTTCAGCTCA